CACATCACTCCTCAGAGGAGCCTCCCCACCCTCAATTTTGCCCTCACAACTCCTATTGCATTTATAATCAAAATATTGCATGCAGAACTGCTTTAATGTCCACCTTTCCACTCCCCGCACAGTGAAAGGACAGTATCTGTCTTATTCACCACTATCCCTGGTGTCTACCTGTACAGTTCCTAGAACACACATCACAAGTGGGTGGATGCAAGCGCCACACATGGACAGACAGACACGTTAAAAATCATGACTGACATTAACAACTCTTCCCAAAATATTTTAATTTTCCTTCTATAAAAAGTATATACAGGGCTGGGGATTTAGCTCAGCGGTTCGGTGGCCTGCCTTGCAAGCACAAGGACCCGACTTCGGGGATCGAACTTGGGCCCTTGCTTTTGAAAGGCAGGCAGCGGAACCACTAAGCCAAATCCCCAGCCCAAAAGTATATACATTTCTTAGTACTTTTATATACTTTATAAACTTAGGAAGAGATTTAATTATAAATTTTGAACTTCTCCCTGTTGAGCATTTGCCCTATTTAACTTTTCCTTGGAATTTATATATTTATGGTGAATATCATGTTCACCAAAAAAGGGAAAATGCCATAAGAGCAGCAGCATTACTTTATTGGCAATGACCCAAACTGATCAAATAAAAACAGAGATGCAAAAAAGTATTCCCCATCTGTGATCCCAAAGGAATCTATCATTCTCCTATCATTAGAGAACTACCCCCAGCCTTAACAAACAAGGTAGGACTGGCTCCGTGGTACCCTGGGATTCCTCACCCACCAAAGTGCTGTCTCGCCTCACCTGCCAAGGAGGCTGGTGCGGGGAACCAGAGGCTCAGAGATACTTTCTTTGGCAACCATGTCCTTGATAGAGAGCTCTTGAGCACAAGCACTGTGCTCTAAAGCTCTGAAACACAACTGCTCCCCGCAGAGTCACTGCGTTCTCTTTACCCCTACTCTCAAGGCTGCCAGCTGGCAAGTAACCCAACCAGGATCACTGTCACTCTGTGGCACCTGGCCTTAGCTGAGGCCACGACAGGCAGTATCCATTGGGTTCCTGGTGACAACTACCTCACACCCCTTTTTGTGTTTCCATGTTTGCCAGATAGGATGCCTCTGTAATTTAGGGTGGTCTTGAATTCACTGTGTAGCCCAAGCTGCTTTAGAACTCAAGGTGCTCCTCCTGCCTCAGCCTTCTGAGTGCTGGGATTACCTCTCAGCTAGGTGCCTCCACATCTAACTACCTGATGTATCTGTAAGTGCACTCTTCTTAACACTTTTGAAGCTCTAAGTCAGAACTCCACTACTGTCTTCACTCCCCAAGCCAGCCATCATATATGCCTAATCTGCATTTTTAAGGAGATCCTTGATGTCTCACATTTTTAAATGATACACAAATGTTTTAAAACTGAGTTTTCTTTTCCACTTCCAGCAGCAGTACTCTTCCACTGTCATTCACTTTTCATTTTTTCCAGAGTAGATGGAAAGCTAAATCCCCCTCCTAAAAGGGTCTTAATACTTCACATATGCCTTTTCTAAATTCGCTCTCACCTAGAATGTCCTTCTCCTTCCTTCCTTCCTTCCTTCATTCCTTTGTTCCTTCCTCTCTCCATCCCTCCCTTCCCCCTTCCTTCCTTCGTGTACACACAAATTCCTGTGATTTCTAAACACCTAAATTCATTAAGCATCTCTGATACACAAACCTCCACTGGCCCCAACCTCAGCCCGAACTTCTCTACCCATCTGCTGATCTCTGAGAGCTCTTTGGGACTCTTGAAGCACTCATTTTTCTTCATAAGAAAATAGTACTTCTCAATGTACTATGTCTCAAAATCGAATGCCTAGGGGTTCATGATGTCAGAGAAAGGGTCTGTCTTATGTTGGATCTATCTATTTCCTGCCCACTGCCTCCTAGATGAATGGTTTGTGAGACTATTTATTGATGTTTAACAGAGGGAGACACCCACACAAATACCCCAGTGAGTTCAACGCAATAAAAATATAAAATAAGCCAACATGGTTACAGGCTCATGCCTGTAATCCCAGCACTCAGGAGGCTGAGGCAGGAGGATCAATGCAAGTTCAAGGCCAGCCTACATAGTAAGTTCAAGGCCAGAAAGATCCTGTCTCAAAAACCAACAAAACAAAATTATGAGCAAGGTATGGTAATACACACTTATAATCCCAGCATTCAGGGAGCTCAGGCAGGTGATCAGGAGTTCAAGGCCAGCCTGGGCTACACAGTGAGTTGAACAGCTTAAACAACATAGCAAGACCCTGCCTCAAAAAACAAAGAATTATGGCCAAGGAAACAAAAATTCTGAGCCAAGTAAAACAGAAAAAGAGATGAAAAAGAAAAAGAACACTGATGGAGAAGCAGACTGATTATTGTAAAGCAAGAAAGGGTTTCAGACAAGCAAAGTGAAGTCCAGTAAGACTAAACGAAGTGGACAGTGGTACACCACCAGTCCCAGTAGCAGCTGAAAACTAGGGCCAAACAACCAGTGCTCTACCTGTAACAACTCAAGACCACCCTGCTCTTCTCACTTGTTAGCACTTTCTCTCATATTCCTATAACCTTTAGCTTATTCAACAATTACTTTCTGAGCTGAATCAGAAAGTAAAGATTTCATGCAAGGTCTTAACTATTTGTGCCTTGAGAGTCTGCTCCTTGCTTATCCTCAAAGCCTTGTTCATCCTCCTAAGCATCCTCCTAAGGGACAGTTCAATGTTTTGTCAGTCTGCTCTCCCAACTCTACGGCCCCTGGGCACCCAATCTGAGCACCTATCTCTAACTCAACCCAAGTCTGTTTTGCTTAGCTGACCCTTCCCTTGCTATTCAAGCCAAGCACAACCTCTCTGTCCTGTGTTCTGTTTATTCTCATTTAATCTATAACGTGTTATCAGCAGTTTCATACAGCTTGAAAACTCTTGTCCTTAAGGAATTAGCATTTCCTAGTCTCTTAAAAACTTTTGTTTACAGAATAGGTTCACTAACATGTCGGATTCATCCAAAACAAAGGAGGGAGGGAAAGGGAAGAGAGAAAATAGGAAAAAACCAAAGAGAAGACAGAGAAAGGCAAAAGGATAAAAAAAGCCAACTACACCAAGCTGTGTGTCCAATGCTACTTCTGTAGATCTCCCTAAATCCTCATAATAGCCCTGAGAGGTTAAGAATTAAAATCTTTATGTTACAGAAGTTGACATGGAAGGTGGACAAAGATGAGGTAATCAATTCAAATTTAAATGCTGGGCTGAGGATTTGGCTCAGTGGTTCCACTGCCTGCCTCACAAATGCAAAGTCAATCCCCAGTACCAAAAATCACAAATTTAAATGTTAATATGGATAAAATAGTTCCTTCTTCAATCAGCAACACAAGGCTAATGATACAGGAAAATACATTCAGAAATGCCACCCAAACTATGATCAGGGTTATTGTCACAAAAAGTACTGAAAAATGATCCAAGTAGACTCCTAGTTATATGATGTCAACCTGCTATCAATGTGTTGTATATTTCTAAGAAAATTAAACACAAGATAAACCCTAAATTTTTAAAAGCACATCAGCAGAAAAAAAGTCCAAAACTGTCTCTACAGTCTTATGAAATTAGAAGTATATTAGATTTGTATAAATGTAAATTATTAACTATAAAATAAACAGAAGTAAAAAGAGAAAACAAAGAAACAATGAGTAAAACAAAGGTCCTAAAAAGAGCTTTAAGAGAAAAGTGAACATTATAGTTTGGGAATCAAGGTACCTCAAGTCAAATAAAATATAAGAGAAGGGCTAAGAAAATAAAGAACAACGAAAAAGGAGTTCAGGGTAACTGTATTTCAAAAATAGAATGAGATAAAAACTGTGTTCTAGAATATTTATAGTAAAATTTGTAGTTTCTTGAAAAATGGGACCCACACCTAGAGGTCTACCAAGAGAGCAAAGCAGAAATGTGTAGCAAGGTCCTAAAATGTGGAACGGCCCTAAAATATAACTCCCATGTCACAGGACAAATGATCTAATGTGTACCCACTCTGATGAAACCTGATTGAGGAAATCACACAGGTAAGTGACAACAGGAGAGGGAGGGCAGCTCAAGAATACATAAAGCACCATCTCTTTAAAAATATATAAAACAATACTATATATTAGGTGACACACATATGTGTAGTAAAACCGTGGGAAACTCATAGGAATAATAAACATCAAACTCAGAGTAGATATTAACTGGAAGATTCGGGGAGGTCATAGGTTTCCTCACCTGCATACATTATTATGAAATAACTTTTCAGACATATAGAAAATATGTCTATAGTTTATTTAAAGGGGTAAAAAACAAAATTAGTAGATTATGGGATCTCAAATTCCTTCGTATTCTTCATCTAAAAGATAAGTCTAGGACCTGGGATTTAGCTCAGTGGTTCTGCCACCTGCCTCGCAAGCACAAGGTCCTGAGCTGGATCCGCTTGATCCCTGGGACCAAAAAAAAAAAAAAATCTAAAAAGGCCAACAATGTATTTCAGTGGTAGTGTTATTTGTCTCACTTGCATAATCCCTGGTTTTATGTCCAGCGTTGAAAAAGGAGAAAAAAATAAAATAGCATTTAATAACAATTTCCAAGAAGGAAAGGAGAATATGCTCTTTTATGGTAGAGAGGCTGATCCTGGCACTGGAAGGCCGAGATCATCTCATGGGTTACCTGATGGCCATCTACTATGCCATAAAGTGGTGGCTGCGCTGAGGGCATCAATATTTCTGGCAATATCTATAGAAGTACCTGGCCTTCCTACATAAGCACATGAACACCAGGCATCCTATGGCCGCTACTACTTCCAGGCCCCCAGCCACACTTTCAGGCATACCAGGCAAGGCCAGGCAGCCCCAATGGCCTCAAAGTATCTGATGGGATTCCCACCACCCTATGACAAGAAGAAACAGAAATTCCTGCTGCCTTCAAGGTTGTGCCTCTGAAGCTTACCAGGAAGTCCACCTACCTGGGGCACCTGGTGATGAGGTCAGCTAGACAGGCAGTGACAGCCACTCTGGAGAAGAGAAAGAAGGCCACGGTCCAACACCAGAAGAAAACAGATTATGAGCTATAGAAACAGGCACATGAGAATATGGAGAAGAAAATTCAGAGGTTCACAGAGGTACTGAAGACAGTCTCCTGATCTAAGACCATCACCTTAAAAAAAAAAAAAAAAGACAGAATATATCCCTAAGTATTTAAGTACAAGAAGTTAAATAGTCCCGATTTATTTTGTTATTCCTTGTTTTCCCCACTATAAAAACTTGAAATTTTTTTATCTGGAGCAATTAACTACATACAACTAAAAATGATATAAAATAAACATTGCCCCTAAATGTCATCACAGCTCCTTACCAGATACAATCATGCCTTCAGAAGTTAATATGAACTTCAAGCCAAAGGGTCATTCTGAAGAAGTGTAGGACCTGGATTAAGACCTAGATTCTGGGAAGGTTGAAGCAGGAAGATGTCAGACAGGGCAACTCAGCAAGATCATGTCTCAAAAATTTAAAAAGGGGTAGAGATGTAGCTCTCTGGTAGAGTAACCCTGGGTTCAGTCCCTAGTAATGAGGGGGAAAAAGAAAACAAGGACTCTGAGACCAAACTATACGGGCAGAAACCACCAGAATTCAGGCAAGTTACTTAGGCTCCTCTGTTGCCTCCGTTTCCTTATCTGTAAAATAAGGGTAAAATAATCTCTGTCATAAAATTGAGAAGAGAGTTAGAATGGCACCTGGCCACATATTACCGTAAATGTGTTACCTATCATTTTTATTCCAAAAACTATTTGTTTAGAAAAAGAGAAAACCAGGTCTTGTACCCAAGGAATTAAGTCCAATTACTTTCGACATCAAGTAGGGGACAGAAAAGCTGACCTTGCTAGGACAAAGAAAAATGGGCAGCTTTTTACCTCTTGAGCAATCTATGTTGAGAGTAATAAAATTTTTTTAAATTTTCCTAACAACAACATTACTCGATGCCATTTAACATCTCCAAAATGTACATAACCTGTATACATATACATGCACATTCCTGGTCCAAATTCAAAGTAAAACATTTTATTTCCTGGTTCCCTGTTCACCTGGCAAAACTTCAATTCATCTTGGAAAACCTGGCTCATCTCCATTGCAGTCTCCCCTCTCTCCTTCCCTCCTCTATACCCACTCTGTTCTCCTCCTGTACTTTCCAGCAGTTTCTACTCAGCTGTACTGAGGACACCACACTCCAGGGCATCTGCTCCTAAGGGTTCTTCCATTCATTATACCATACCATGAAGTTTTTTCACACACTGCCTTCTATGAACCTTGAGCTCTACAAGAGCAGAAACTATCTCTTAATCATTTCTGAATTCCCAGTGCTGCAATGAGGCACCAAATACATGAATGAATCAATGACTCTGCTGTCTGTTACAGCAACTACCTTCAAAAACAGGTAGATATCCTTTTTCAGAAACTCACCTCCAAATATAGGTATCTTGAATGCTAAATAAACAGCAGATCAATTGAACACACTTAATTGTACTTCAAAATGGAAAACATTCCAGTAATAACAGATGCTAAAACGTTTTTTGAAATGAAGGCACTTAAAATGTCAGGAAAACAGAAGTATTTTGAACACTTTCTTATGAAACCAAAAATAAGTGTGTATGGAAGATATCATAAGATTTAACATTTATAGCTCTTTTTACAAGAAACTATAATCAAAAGTCAGATTAAATTATATACCCTAGTGAGGTGGATGAAATCTAGACTAAACCACATATTTAAGCAATTTCACATGTTTCTGTGGTATGGTCTTCTAAAACAGTAGGTTATAAATCAGCTAAAACTGGGCAAGTTTTTAGGAATTTAACAGTGTTTATCCATTTTATGTAATGTGCTGAGGGCACATAAAGTACTGACTGATGTGAATGGGATCAGTTAGAAGCCCATCTTCTGTCACTATAGAACAGTGATGTGAGCCTTGCAGAGCTTCCAATGGTAACAGCCCGCCCCGACACGCGTGCCATAGGTTCACCAGCACTGCTATATATAGGAAGAGGTACACCTCCTCCCAGCTAAATTACAGGCCTTACTGCTTCTTTAGAGCTCATCCCATCCTCCCAGGGACTTTGGACAATATAGTAAACCTTTCTCATCTATATAGTCAACCTTCCCATCAGCATTTAAACCATACTGAAATCAACACTCTTTAAAAGTTTCCTATACACAGTACTCAGCAGTTTCCATTTCCTTACTTCCCATTTGCTCCCCACCCCAATCCCACTCCTATTACCAGATCAGCAGCTCTTGAGAAAGTCACCAACCACCACCAGGGTGCTAAGCACAATGGATAATTCTCAAGAGTCTTCTCCGAAGAGCATTCCACAGTACTGACAACAGGTACTGACCACAGGAACATCTGTGATGGGTGTCCTCCCACTTTCCAGCCACTGCTGTTCCCTTAACAAGCTCAGGCTCCTTTACCTAGCAGTATCCCAGGCTTCTTCTGACCTTATTCTATGGTCCCTTCATCCTCAAGCTCTCTCATGCCCATGGTTTCCACTATCACCTCCACCCTGAAGGCTCCAAAATGGCAAGCATCCACCCCCATTTCTGAGCACTAAACCAGTGGGGTCAACAGTGGGGACACAAAGACACCGCCATATGAAGGCTTCCAGAACTAAAGTCATAGTCTTCCTATACTCAAAACCTACTTCTCTCTCAGTAAGTCCCTGATCAGTGGGCAGCACAGACACTGCCTTCCAGCTGGTGAGGCTGAAACCTAGTCCTCACTCAACACCTCATCCTCCCACCTGATATACTATTTATCACCATACCCAGACAATTTTACATCTAACACCTCTATTCTCAGTATTTCAGGAACAAAGGAGCCAACATATCATAATTTGTTGAAAACAGAGGGAAAAACCTTAAACTTGAACATTAGTATTGATGAAATTGAAATTTTGGCTGTGGGGACCATGTGAAGTTCACTTTAATGTATGTATTCCACATGGTAAAGACACTGTTCTGCACACACCTGGCATTCAGTACATGTACTGCAATGAATTATTTCTCCTGGCTCCCTACATGTCCAACTGAAATACTTACATATGTACTTAACAGCTTATATTTCCCAGTTCCTTTGGCCGCCTAAAAACTGAGAATTTAAGTTAATCACTCTATAGCACAAAAACTACAAAGGATACTTTTGATAATTATGATGTTGCTTGTTTAACATTAGGAAAGCCTGTCACCTCTGGCCCAGCATTCCTTAAGAAAAATCTAAATCTCATCTTCAAATTCAAATCTTACATAAAATTCTCACTTCCCAACTGTTCTTCAGGGAAAAACCTAAGTATTACAGGTACATTTAAGCTTACAGGTTCCCTGAAGACAGAATTACTGCTTGAAAAATTTCCCTATCTCATTTATTTATCTTGCAATGTAGCTGGAATGACATTCAGGACAGAGACACCGATGTTTAAAAAAAAAAAAAGTATCTGTGGAACGGATGTAGTGGTGTCTGCTTGTAATCCCAGGGCTCAGGAGGCTGAGGCAGGAGGATCAGAGTTCAAGGCCCGCCTGGGCTACCCAGTGAATTCAAGGACAGCCTGACTGACCCTAATGTAAACAAACAATCTTTGCTCAAACTCTTCAGTTAGGTAGGTACATTTAGTTATATCCTCAGAAAGCATAACTGTTATCTAATAAAAATTCAAAAAAGCTTCCCAGATTTCTATCTATATCATCATCCATCTTCATGGACTCAATACCTTTCCTTCACTGCATGTACCATAACTTGTAATTACTCATCCACTGGAGTCTGTTTCCTGCCTAAGGGCAGCAGGCAGATCACTTCTACTCACTGCCTCTATACTCCTAGCACCTAAGAAGGTGCCTGACACAGAAGGTAAAAAGCTGTAGCAGAGCAGTTAATTGAAAGAAAAAAGAACTAGCCATCATTTAATTAGAACCTGATGGGGGGGGTCATACTTATTATGCAAATTAAATCGATTTTAAGGTTTTATGGTCTGACTCCACTTCCATCCCCAAAACGGAAGATGACTTTTCTCTATGTATTTGTGCGACCTTTATTCTTCCCTTTGCTCCTTTCTTCCTTCAAAGAGAACATCTTAGATTCACAGAATATTTGATACTTAAAGTCATTGAGCCCAAATACCTTACACCAGTAAGGGAGCCCTAAAGACTGAGTATGACTTGTCACCTTTGACCCTTAGATCCAAAGGGTTAGCCTTAGCCTGTCCTACTCCCAGTAACAAAGCCTTCCCATAGAAGCAACACTTTTGGAGGAAGAGAAAATCCAGGGAATGCCTCAGGATAGCAAATGCACGTTAGAGTGACCCGTGTAAGGTCTGCGCAGCTGACTCCCATGTGCTAACCCTTCTTGCCGGTAAAACCTGCTAACACACTTTCAGGGGCAACTCAGCAGTGCCGAGCAACTCTGCAGAACCAACCTGCGACTACAAGATAGGCTGCAGTGATGAGAAGGTGGTATCATCAAACCGCGGGCCTCCGAGCCACCCAAAATAAAGTCTTCTGTGGACACTATTCAGCCAGCCACCAAGGAGAGGGAGCACCCTGCAGCGGTCAGTTGGAAGAGATCTCTCGGGATTTAGGCCGTCCTGTCTGAACCCCAGCTTTTCCCCTTACAAGCTAGATCCGGGGCAAGCTAACGTGTCCCCGCTGCAGCTTCTCCCGCTGTAAAATGGGAATAACCTCCACCCTAAAGGGTTGTTAACAGTGTAAAGAAACCGCACGTACGACTCTTGGAACACAGTGCGTGGCATGTCATAAAGGCTCAATAAATGTCTGCTATTTGTCATTTCATTCGGCTATAATGGCTTTTACAAAGCCTCTTTATTCCCTCTCTAACTTCCATATAATTTTCCTGACGTTGTTGGATATTATTTCGATGGGGCCTTCTGTATAATAGCTTGGAGCACATTTTCTAGAACGACACCAGGCAAACCGGTTCTAGCTGCGCTTCGGGGTCTTCCTCGGAGAATCGGATCTGACAACACCTGCCGACCCCGCTGGAACGCCTAGGCGTACGCATCCTGTGACAGGATACAGGGTCATGAAGACGCACTCGGGGTAAGTAATCCTACAACTGTGCATCCCAAACACGTGTCTCGATCCCACTCCCACCGCAGCCGAGCGAGTCCACAGCAAACAGCCAAGGTGGACCCACGCCACACGCCCACTTTCTCCCCTCAGCCCGCGGCCACACGACTTCCCGTCCCTGCAGCCCGGCCTCTCCGCAGCCGCGGGGCTCGCTTCCCCCAGCGGGAACCGCACC